AAAAAAAAAAAAAAAAAAAAAAAAAAAAAAAAACAAGTAACTTACTAACTAAAGCCTTATATTTCATATCTCTGCCACAAGCTATGCTGTATTTCTGAGAGTAAGGGGATGTACCTGTCCCAGACGTTTCTGCCCAGCCCACACAGAGGTGTGAATGATTTTGAGGAAGAGCTGACCGGTCCTCGGGTTGAAGATGAAAATGGCTCCATTGATGGGCTTCGTGGTCAAGTTACCCTCAAAGGTCTGTTGAAATAGGTGGAGAATACATGTGACTACATTTTTTGCATTTTTTTAAAATATTATTATTATTATGCAAAAGCAAAATACACTTTACTTTCTTAGAATTACAAAAACACCCTTTTACCTTGTGGATAGTGACTCTGTAGACATTTGTGTCATCCACAAACCAGATGATCTGGTTGGAGAACAGTTCACCGTAGTTCTGTGAGGACAGGTACGGCTCAGTGGGCTCAGAGGAGTACAGCTGCAGACCTTTGCGGATGCGTTCCCTGAGCACATACAGGGCAGGGTTGGCCTTCATGATCTTAGCCATGGCCTGCTGGATCAAAGGCTTGCCTCCCGGGAACCAGTTACCATACGCACTACAAAACAAGATCAAATAAAATGGTGGGTTTAAGTAGATGCTTAAAGATAGGAAACAAGATTCTTATCTTCAAACAAGACAGTGCACAAAACCTGGCCCTTAGACAATCCTAACCTGTGGAGGTTGTAGGCCAGATCAATAGCAATGAGCACCCCAGTGGGAGAGGGGTAGATACTCATGTTGTCTGTGGTGTAGTCGAGGAACTTGGCCCTGGCATAACGCTCGATGTCATGGGAGTCATAGTCACCCCATCGGAGCTGAATGTCAATCCAGTACTTCTGTGTGGTGGTGCTGTCCATCACGTCCCTGCAGGAGGAAGTGAACATTTCAATTTAAACAAGATTTTCACTTTTCTGTTTTGGACCTCATTATTCTATAATAAAGTAATGTTTCATCCCCTGAAAAACTTAAAATCATGCTAAAAGTCATACTTTGAGTCAGCAAGCAGAGAAGGCCGGGAGACGTTCCACTTGTATGATGCAAAGAGAAGTATGTCAGCACAAGATGAGTTCATCTTGTAGGAC